TCTTTTGGGAAGCAATCAGAATTATATACACAGGCTTCCACACTTCAGACACATAAAGCCTGTGAGAGAGGACATTTAGGACATCCAAAAGGATGACTATATAAAGCAGCATGTACTGCAGCTGTTATATACCAGATAAAAGCAAATCCAACTTTGTGACTTTGTGAACTATCTGCTATAAGCTAAAAACAAGGTCAGATATTCAAACGGAGCCAAAAGCCACAAGGGGAAGTAAGCAAGATATACTTAAAAGTTATTGTAACTGCACCATAATTCAGAAGGAATTGACTAATTTTTCCAGTACCTAACATTCAGAACAAAAGACATACATCTGAATCTACCTAGCATCAAGTCTTTATATATAACTAAGTGAAGTGAAGAAGGGAGTTGCTTCTATGTCTGGGCCAGACTTTACCCAATGCTCCTATCAAATACCTTGGCCAAACCTGTTTGACTGGTGAGATTGCATGTACAAATGGAATAAGAAATAAGGAGTATGCTTTGCATAAGGAAATCAACAGCTTTATTGTTAGTTTGCTTTCCCTCAGGAACTGCAGATCTATCTAAAGGACTTTTAGTTGATTTTAAAGATGTCTGCACCTGTCCCAAAGATACTTTTCTAAAAGTTCTGAACAAACTTCTTGGAGGAGAAGCAAAACATTTTTCAAGGAAAAAAACCAAGTAAGTCCAGTTGCTTTTTGGAAAAAACATTCTTGGGATAACCATGACCTGAATGATTGAGAATCTCCATAGACACAATGTCTGCCATCTATTGACAGTGTGAATGCATGTCACCTATTGTAACTTTCCATCTGTACATCAGGATTGGGTATCCTCCTCTTCCGGCAGCACCCAGATTAAGGGTTAGGGGGAGAGGCCAAGGCACTCTGGTCTCTACAGGGCAGTGAATGAAATGTGTTAGACTATAAATAGGGCATATACAAGGCTTTTCAACCCATGGTATGCGTACCACTTGTGGTACATTAACACATGGCAGGTGGTACCTAGCCAAGTGTAGTGGGGGAGGGAAAGAGCCAGCACAGGCAAGGACTTACCGTGAGAGAGTCCTCCAGAGCTGCAGAGTGGCTGGGGCGAGGCAAAGGCCCCGGACTCACTTCCAGCTCACCCTCTCCCATGAGAAAGGAGGAGGAGGGGGTGGAGACAGGAGAGGCTATGAAAGGAGGCAGTTTGGGCGGGAGAGGGAGAGAGAGAAAAAAGAAGCAGCCTTGGGAGGAGGTGGAGTCAGCTCTAGCTGCACCGAAGGGAAAGAAGGAGGTGGGGAGGAGAGGAGAAGAGTTCAAGCAGGCCAAGCAGGCTGGCCATGAGCCAGTCTACAACTTCTGTGGCAGCCACCTGTGCTGGCAGCAACAAACAGGCAAGAAATGCAGGGGGAGGGGTTGCCCTCCACCAGGAATGAAAAAAGGCAGCATCAGCTGGAGGTGAGGCACGGAGGAGGGAGGGAGGGAGGAGGGAGGGAGGGAGATGGAGAGTGGAAGGATTCTTATGTGCTTTTGAAGTTCTGGGATTTGTGCAATGTGGGCTTTGTGTTCTTAAGGAGTGTTTGACAATGTCTATTTGGCTGATGGCTGATGTCTCCTGTTAGCTTCTATTGCTCTGCTGTTGTTAGCTGTAAGTTTTGCTGCAAGGGATTTTGAAGTATTTTTCTCCTGAATGGATTTTGCCTGTAGCATTCCTTTACTTATGAATGGAGCCATTTGGGGAGGCTGCCTTAGCCAGCAGCCAATACTTACTACATTTTTTTTCTTCCTTAAGTGCCGGCTGCGTTCCTTAACTTTCCTTTCTAGCCAGTAGCTAATTCTTAAAGGGGAATGTGCCTTTTTAAGCTAGTTCACTCAGCAGCTTGTCTTTTCTGTCTTTGGAGGCTTTTCCTTGTTTGATGAATATATGGAAGAGAGAAAATATGGTGTGTGTGGGGGGTTTCAAATTCCTCCCTCAGAAGGAGGTGGGCATGAGAAAGAGGGAGGCGGGGGGGGACTTCCGGTGGCAGGCGACTTCGTCGGTCGCAGCTGTTTGCTGCCTCCCGCCTGTTTCGCGTAAAAGCCGGTTTGACAGCCAGCACCAGCTGTCAAACGGCTTGATACCTTTCCCCTGGGCATAAGGGGATAGGTGAGCTGCCCGGGGTAGGAGTTGAGTTCCTGAGTCGTCCTATATGGACGATGTAGGTGAGAACTCCTCCGGAGCCCCGAGGATTCTCCACGATCCAGGACGCCTTCGCTTCGGCGAAGCTAGAAGCCGCCGCCACCGCTGCAACTTGAAGTTAATTGTGAGTTTTACTTGTAAGCAGACGAACCAACTTTGGAAGCTTGCTTTTTATTTTTGATTTTATTTTAACTTGGATAATAAGTTTCTCCCCGTACGTGTGTTGGAATGAGGAAAAGTGAAATTAAAATGGCGATGGATTGATACTTTTCAGCAAGAAGTGAAAGTGATTTCCGGTTTGAAACTTTTGCTACTTTGAATCTGCGTACTATTTGTTTTGGCTGAATTGCTCAAATTTACTGCTAATATGGTTCTGAGAAGAATTG